CTATTCATACGAACCTATCCTAAATATCTTGTCGGCATTAAATAACCCATTCAGGTGTTGATATGCCGTAAAACGAAATAAACCAAACCAAAAAACATCGCTGGAGATGCTGGTTATATGATCGTTTCCTTTTACTCTTCCAGAAAATACGTGACTCCTTATTCTATGTTTTATCTCTACAAGAGTCAAATCGACTCATAGATGGAAGATCACTAATAGATCTATATTTCATTTACCGCCCAGGAGTTCAATATCGTTTACGCAGCTTTGTGGAAGATAAGTTAATTTTCACCCTGTTACCGTTTTCCCACCGACCTATAGTGAATAACTTCGTCCATGTATATTGATATTTATTGATATAAATACAATTATGGCACAAAGCCGAAAAGAGAGAAGGGTTGAGGCTGGTCTTCACTGACTATCTTATACCTAGCTAATCCCATTCACAAGCCATTCACTTAATGTATACTATATTGCCGCCTACGCTCAGAGAACCTAAAAAACGTACCCCATGACATCAAAATTTCGTGGTCATAAAAAATATTATATATAAAAATCTATGGATGATTTACAGTGTGAGTTGGGTGAAGCCAAGACCAAATTAAATATCAAAACAAATAAACCAAAGATAACTGATGTTAGTGGGTCCCGTCTAACCCTCAAAAAAGAAAGGTCGCTTTATTCTGCCTTAGACAGGAGCAGGAGGCTCTCTCTCTTCGGGAGAGGGAAAGGAGAAAATAAACACCGAGAAGGGGAGTGAGGTATGCAGACCCAGTCGAGATGAAAAGGGTGGGTCAATAAACAAACTGGAGAGGTTGGGAAATTCAACTTGGATCATAACCAAAGTCTGCATCTATGTATATTGCTGGTCATCTATTGTCAGTCTTCTTTTTTTTTTTTCATATAAACATATATTGCTGGGATTTTTGCTATAAATATGTATTGTTGGTCATTTTATTAAAAATACCGTAATTTCCCATGTATAAGACGCATTTTTTCTAAAAAAATAATAAGCAAAATCAGGGGTGCGTATTATGCACAGCTGCAAAAAACTTAAAAAAAATTGCCGTAAAATAAAATAAGAATTATCATAAAACTAAATTACAATATTATTGTATGTCTAAACCCATTTTTTTTTTTTTAAATAAGAGTGGGAAATTCTGGCCATAATGAAATTGGAGAGATACAATTTATACATGGGGTGCGTATTATGCATGAGTAGAATCATTTTCCAACGTTTTCAACACAATTATAGATGTGCGTATTATGGATGAATGCGTATTATACAAGGAGAAATTACGGTATGTATTGTCACTTTGTTTATATAAAAAAATGTATTGCTGGTATTTTTGGTATTAAAATGTATTTTTATACTTGCAAAGTGTATTGATTTTCTTTGGGAATTCACTATATCCCCATAGCTGGGACCCTAACAGGTGCTACCACCGCGGGTCAAGGTGGACCTGGGAGCAACAGGTAGTTCAAGGCTTCTCAAAACCTAGAATCTTTCATCGCCAAGAGGCCTTGGCTGTTGTATGTAGTTTATCACTATAGCCCGGATTTTTCGGGGATTGTGGCCATCATTAATGAATTCTGACAGGCCTTCTAATTCTCTCAGAATAGTTTCACCGTTTGAATAAGTCCGGTGAGACGACACAACCTTGTCTTGCTATTCTTTCTACTTTGGTGTTTATAATGGTTTAGTTTGGCTTGGTTTGATTTACGGCATATCAACTTCAATGGGTCATTTAATGCCGAACATTTTTTTTTTTCTTTTCCCTGATAATATTTTTGTTTTGTCAAAAAGTTATTTCTGTTAATATATTTTTCGTCAAAAATGTATAGCTGGTAATATTATTTTTTCAAAAACATATAGCCGGTAAAATTATTTTTCGAAAAACGTATAGCTTGTAAAATTACTTTTGCAGAAACGTATTGCTGGCAATATTTTTTTTTCTTCAAAAACGTATAGCTGGTAATATTTTAGAATGCTTTTTACGTCAGTTTCAGGGTTAACTATTTGCCCATAGCTGGGACCCTAACAAGCGCTACCTCCGCGGGTGAGGGTAGACCTGGGGACACCAGCAATTAAGAGGTGGTTCCACGCTCCTCAAAACCTCCTGGTCAGAGGCCTTGCTGTTGGACGTAGTTTATCGTCTTACCTAGTACGCGGATGTAGTTTATCATCTTACCCAGGATGCCGAATGTAGTTTATCGTCTTAACCAGGACGCGGATGTAGTTTATCGTCTTAACCAGGATGCGGATTTAGTTTATCGTCTTACCCAGGACGCGTGTTTATAATGAATGTATCTTCTATCCATACGCAGTCGGTATTCTTCCGAGATCTTTGTAATATTTCTCGTAAATAAGTCAAGCTCACCTAGCATTAAGAATTGTGTCGTCCTTTATCAATCGCATTAGTGAAATGATGAGCCCGAAATGTAATTAACAGGTCAGGGACACTAAAATCAAGCAGGTGCGGAAGTTTAAACATCTGGGAAGTGTTTTGACAGAGAACGGCAAGTGCGACACTGAGATCCGTAGATGTATTAGGATTGCCAACGCCTAATTCCAAAAGCTGGGCAGAGTATTGCGAGACAGGAGGATTACTTTGGTAACAAAGAAAAGCGTTCTGAGCTGTTACATGACATCTGTCCTTCTTTACGGCAGCGAATGGTGGACAGTCTCCTCAAAGATGAAGAAGAGGAGACGGAGATGTGGTTCTAGAGAAGGTTGCTAAGGATATCATGGACCGAGTGTGTGAGCAAGGATAAGGTCTTGAACAGGTTGAAAACAAGGAGGAGGCTTATACTTAACATCAGGAAGAGGCAGCTGAAGATTCTGGGACACGTTATGAGAAAGGAGGGCCTGGAAAATCTGATAATCACAGGTCGAAAGAAAGAAAGAGAGACAAGGGAAAGCAACGCATGATATACCGGGCGGGCTTACGCAAGTGGATGACAGAACACGGTCTGGGGGAGATGGCAGATAGATAAGACATTGAGAGTTACAAGTGATAGATGGAGGTGGAGGTGGAGAGACATGTTCACCTACGCCATGAAATGGCACGGCATATACAAAGAAAAAAAAAAGAAGAAATTACTTATATTATACTCCTTTTGCATTTGTCAGGCTCTGTTGGAATGTTATCACACGTTAGCGTTTATATATACAGTAGGAGGCACAAAAAAAAAAATGGACGCGCCCATAGAAAATCGACTTTGTTTTTTTACCAAGACAAGTGATTAATAGAATTCGGTTATTAATAGAAGGGTAGATAAAGACTTTCCAAGAGTAGCTTAAATGTGTCACATGGCCGAAAGCATGGGGCCCCTAGTGAGAATCGAGCTCACTACTCCGTCGTAATTGATCTAGCGAGATAAGATCGCTAACCATTACACCGCCTTGGGGGCAACCCGCGACAGGCATAGATATGTACATTATACAAGTCAAGAACCCAACTGAACAGCTTTGGGCGACAATGAACAAGCATGCCCGTAATAGGAAAGTCTACACAGAAGATGATCTTTTTTTGCGAATTTAAGGAATGCTGGAACATTCTGGAGAAGGATGTCCACTTACTAAAGAATTTAGTCTATGGCATGCCACGAAGAATTAAAGCCGTTATTAAAGCAAAAGTTTACCCAACAAATCCTAAATCATTTTTTGACTTTTATAACGTACATATGTACACCTGTACTAATAAACGAATTCTATTACTCACTTTTTTTTGGTAAATTACAGAAACTGACTTTCTATAAGTGCGTCCCGTTTTTGGCCTCGTACCATATATATATATATATATATATATATATATATATATATATATATATATATATCAGTTATGAAAAATTTGGTAATCCGTATGGGTAGTCCCAAGGAGGATGAAATATCGAGAGCTCAATGTAAATCCAGAGATAATAATTTAAAGAAAAACAGACCACTTTTCGGTTCCATTATAATAATTTATTTCACCAGAGCCGATTTTTTTCGGTAGTGTTATCTAATGATCCAGTGTCCCTTAAAAGGGATCTGGTGAAATAAATTATTATAATGGAACCTTAAAGTGGTCTGTTTTTCTTTAAATTATATATATATATATATATATATATATACAAAGTTACTCCGGTGTTGTAAACATCTTCAGAAAAAAAAGAAAAAAAAGAAGACACTGCCACCCGGTTTCACTGATATAAAGTGAAATAAATCGGTTAGATCTTCGCTGTTAGTTTTTTAATTGTAGTTTGATTACCGAGAAACCCCAGGAGACTCTACTTGATGGCGTTTCTGTGTAGTTCACATCGAAACCCGATTATAATTGTCTCTACAACGGTTCTATTGATGTGAACTTTCGCGAGAGGAGCTCAATTAATGGTTGTTAAAGTTTGTAACTTTAAGCGTGGCAAAAAAAAAAAAAAAATAAAAATAAAAAGATCTGAAGAAGACATTTTGAAATAATGAGGCAGTTATTTGTCGTCAGAGAGAGATTTCCGGATGATAGCTGTCGGGACTTTCTCTTTTGTAACATCGGCTTCGGCTTTGAACCTTATAACAAAATTAGTGTTTGAACCGAAATCGATAAACAAACAAAAAAAAAAAAAAAAATTAAATTAAATACAAAAAATTGCATTTAACAACACTATTTAAAAGTAGCTTTTATCGACAAAAAATAAAGAATAAAAAAATGATTAAAAAAAAAAATGTGTAAAAATAAAAATGTTCACCAGAAATTAAATTTAATTTCATTAAGGAGCAATGCGTCATCAGTACCCGTCAATTTCCTGGTTGGTGATCAAAGTTCAAGTCTAGACCCCACTCCCACTAGAAAAAAAAAAAAAAAAAAATCCCGATTTTCAAAGCAAACAGTCCTTCAAACCGACCAGGTTAATCTTACTAAACAAAATATAAAGATTTACTCAGTACATTTACAATGCATATAACGACGTCGATCCTCTACAGGGATCGTTACTATGAGTTATTAATCATCTTCAGGGGCTTACAACCATATCCCGTTCAAACATCGGTTCTCGTACGATCAACGAAGTTAAGCAACGTCGAACCTGATCCGTACCATGGGTGAACTGTTGGGAATACCAGGTGCTGTAAACTTGGATGTGCGGCTGGTGTAATGGATACTAGTCGAGTTCCGATTTCACTCGTGTTTGCTATGTTCACTTCCGTGCAAATAACCGCGGGAAGGGTATAAATTCACCTATTCCCCCCAGCTATGGGTTAATTAGTACGACAATGGTTTTCGAACTACTAACTTCACTTAATAATATTTTCTTATATGTATTTTGAGATTTATATTTTATGTCTGATTCTTTTCGGTTTGTCTTGAGCTGCAAAACTGGTAATCTGTCTGAGAATTTCCAATATCTATGGATGTCATTCTTCCATTTGATACTGATGACAAAACCAATTCCATAATATTTCCTGTCTGTTTCTAAAGCTGTCTAATTTCTTCTTTGATTTTGGTTTCTTGGAGAAAACATCGTCGTCAGCTTTATCTCGATTTCCAAGAATTAAACTTCTTCCTTTCTGATCGCTTCCTTTATGATTATGGCGCTAATGACAAATTGTTGTGTGACATTGACTGCTTGGTAATGTTGGTGGAAGGGGAGTTCGAGTTTGTCGAGCCATTCTCTCTTGTCCTTTGACTTATTCGTTTTCTTTTCTGGTGGAATTTTTTTTTTTTTTTTGGTTTAGTTTTTTTTACGGTATATCAACCTCAAAAGGTTATTCAATACCGACACGATTTTTACTGCTGGTAATATTTTTGGGGGTTGTTTTACAGCATATCAACCTCAATACCGACAAAATTTTTATTGTCGGTAATTTTTTATTTGAAACGTGTATTGCTATTAATATTTTTCCTTCAAAAAATCTATTTCTGTTAATATTTTTCTTTTCAAAAAATTTATAGCTGGTAATAATCATTTTCAAAAACGTATTGCTGGTAATATTTTTTCTTGCCGAAAATGTATTGCTGGTAATAATTTTTTACAAATTATTTCTGGTATTAAGACCTATTTTTACCCTTTCATAGTGTTTTGACCCCAGTTATGGGGTTAACTATTTACCCGTAGCTGGGACCCTAACAGGTGCTACCACCCCGGTCAGGGTGGACCTGGGAACACCAGCAAGTAAGAGGTGGTGCCTGATCAGAGGCCTTGCTGTTGGACGTATCAGGTCATCCCATAAGTTCTGTCCGGATTTTAACTTTTTTTAAAATGAAAGAAATTTAAAGAATATTTTATAATGTCTAATGGAGCTGAACATTATTTTTATGTTTAGATGCATTAAAACTGATCAAATTTTATTTCAGAGAACAATAAAATTAAATTTTGTTTGATTAAAACCCTGCTAACATGGAAGTACCCAAGAATCATTTGAGGTACATAATGCTTTATGAGTTCAAGAAGGAAACTCAGCAGCCGAAGCGGCAAGAAACATTCACTCAGTTTATGGAGAGGAATGTGTGAATGAAAGAACTTGCAGAAGATGGTTTGCAAAATTCAGAGGTGGAGATTTCACCCTTGAAGATGAAGATCGAATCGGACGTCCAGTTGAGTTTGATGAAAAGCTTCTTGAAGTAGCCCTTGAAGAAAATCCTGCTTCATCAGTTGAGGAATTGGCAGTGTTTCTCAGTTTAAACCATACAACTGTTCATCGTCATCTTCAACAACTTGGAAAAGTTCCTAAACTAGGAAAATGGGTGCCTCATGAATTGTCTGAAAACAACCTCAAATCCCGAGTTGACATCTGCTTTTCTCTCCATTCTCGCCAATTTGTTTCACCTTTTTTGGATATGTGGCACCATTTAACGAGGCAGAAAAAGAAAAGAAAGAAAAGAAGAAAAGGAGAGGCTAAGGACCGAATCGTGGATGATAAGCAGAACACACACACGGCTAAGAGGCAATGGATAAAGGGATATTTTGATAAGTAACAAATGGCGAAAGGGTGTCATTACAATGACAGGGAAATTCTGAGTAAAAAGAAAGGGAAAAAAGAAAGAATCAGATATGTTCTGGCGACGGCTGTGTTATCTTAGGATATGAAAACAAACTATTGGTACGGGAAGGCATCTTATTATCAACTACAGACCGACTGGCCAAAGAAAAATTCAAATGAAAATGTTATTTCGATAAGTGACGAAAAACAGGCAACTAAAAGGACTTTAGACAGATATAAAAAAATTAAAAGCCACCCACGAGTGTCCGCTGACCGATTTCCTTCGACGGAACATCCTTGAACTGCGATAATAAAATTATGTTATCAGAAATATGTACCGAAGGGAAATGAATGGGAATTTAGAAATGTCTTTTCGGGGCGACGTTGGCCGTGTTAAGAAGACCACCCATTCGGATAATTAGCGATAAAATACCTGACGAAAACCACGTGTAGAACAAGAGTTATGACCGCCATTGTTCATATTGTCCCGTTTGCGGCTAGAGAAATGATAACGCCGATTAAGAGGAAGAAAAGGAAAAGAAGGGATAATTTTTTTTAGTTAAGCAAGATATTTTTTTTTCCTGAAACAAAGCCGAGGATTCGTCCGCGCCCGACTAAGACATCATTGGTCAAGTGGTGATCACGTGACGCACGAAGGAGTCTGTCGCTGCCCATGCAGACTGTAGGTATGAGAAGCTGCTACGAAGAAGTGGGGAGGTCAGTTCACGCCCTCTGAAGTATGGTGAGAAGGTGGGAGGGAGGAAAGGTTCCCAAAAATGGAAAAAAGTGGAAATTCCTAACCAGAGAGGTGGATATGTATTTAGAATTATCGAGGAAACCCCGACGCCGACAGACCCACCCCGGTTTTGGTCGGCGTCCATATAAGCGAATCCACAACGAGCAGAAAGCAGTTCCAGTGAGTTCAGTTCCAGAAAAGTTTGAGTTGAGTCTCCATTTGAAGCCGCCTCGTAGATAGCTGACCAAGATTCACGCAAATTCCGGACTCCTCTTCAACCCAAGAACAATTATTTTGAAGAGCGACTTAGATCCAGACCACCACAATAAGTTTTTTTTCGACTTTCGTCCAAAGACACACCGAAACACCAATTTCTTAGAGAGCAAACAACTTGAAGCGTTAAAACTTGCCTAACGGAAAACGACGTGTCACAATCCATAGAACGGGTCGGGAGATAGATGCAGTCCTATGTATCGAACAACTAGACATAAAGTTTGTTACCTTTTTCTTTGATACTTTGAACTTTTGAGTTTTCATTTTATTTTCTTTCATGCATATTTGTGTGGTATCACCCCCGTTGAACTCGGTTTGCATTACGGCCCCAACCACTGTTTGATCTCGTCTGTCTAATATCAATTCACAACGTGGGTAGGCAGACTGGAGATCAATGCAGTTACCTTGGTAACCAGGCGTTGGAAGCGAGTTGGAAACGACGAGGCTGATATCAAATCTAACCAGATTCCCACCCGAATAACCAAAAGGTTAGAACGTCACATTTGGGTGCCGCGACCGATACCAAGCCAGTTGGTCGTCACAGGACGAGACAACACGACTGACGCGACAGGCGGACGTCACGTTTGGAGCAGCGACACCCGAACGGAGCAGCGAGGAGCGAACGGCTGGCGCCGCGGCGAGGACGTCACAATTGGTGCTGTTTAGGGACGTCGTGGTAGACCAGAATTGAACGTCACAGTTGGCGCTGCGACCAGGGGACGACGTCGCAGATAGACTTGTGACTGGCGACGAAAAATGGATCTTTTATCGAAATGTTAAGTGTCGTAGACAGTGGCTTGGTAAAGGGGAAGGACCCCAGCCACAGCCGAGAAGGGAACTTCATGGACAAAAGCTTCTTCTTTCAATCTGGTGCGATCACCAAGGAATTCCACTGAATTATTACCACCTAATGCAACAATTAATGCTCAAATATACTGTCAGCAATTAGAGCGTTTGAACCAAGGTTTGAGGAAAAATACCTACTCTAGTGAATCGAAAAGAGGTGATGTTTCTTCAGGACAATGTGCGACACCACAAAGCAAGAATCACGTCACAAAGGATCGAAGAACTTGGTTGGGAGAAAATTCCTCATCCACCTTATTCTCCCGATTTTGCTCCTTCAGACTACCATTTGTTTCGTAGCTTACAGAATCATTTGGAAGAATCAGCTTTTGTAACACCGGAAGAGGTTAAAACGGACATTTGTGAGTTCTTCGAATCAAAGCCAAAAGAATTTTACAGTAATGGAATTAGTAAGCTTGTTAATAGATGGAAGGAAATCATAGATAATCAGGGAAAATACATTGTTGATTGAATCTGTAATTAAATGTAACATTTGGTCACTTGTTTTCTTTATTCAAAATTCGGACAGAACTTATGGGATGACCTGATAGATTATCGTCTTACCGGGGACGCGGATATAGTTTATCGACATACCCTGGACGGTTCTGGTGGCTTCGAAATTTTTGATTCTAATAGTGATGGAGCATCGCTATTTGCTGCGGCCATGCGCATGTGTTTTAAACGATTTCGATTCAAGTCCAGCGGCTTTCTTCGTTGTTTTGAGTTGGTCCTTGTATCTTCGAAGAGAGCAACCCTTGGGTCTTTTCCATGAAGTGTGTTCACTGAATAAGATTTGACGTGGAAAACTTGACTCTTCCATTTTTTACTATATGTCCTGACTATCGAAGATAACATATATCAATATTATACCAATCAACGTCCCGGGTTCATAATTCTTTTCTTTTTTTCTAATAATTCTCTAACATTAAATGGCCCGATGCTAAAATCTTTTCTCATGCAGTTGGACGTATTTAAATAAATTTTAAATAAGTGTTTCCAAATATTAACATTTTGCTAGCTGGATAAGTCATTATCTGTTAATGACAATGAAACTGTTGGAGGATGTGACACGTTGCGTCTGTCATAACATAAATTTGGAAAAATGTGTTGCCTATAATAACTGCTATTTTGTCGAAACAGCAGAAAACCGCTGTTTGGATGAATCTCATGTCAATGATGATATCTATTTAGCCGGAGCCGCCTGTCTATAATATATACTTGTCAAAAATAGTCATAATGTTGTTACTTGCACTGTTCACAATATATCACCTTTCCCACCCAATCATGTGTACTATTCTCT